CAGAACCATCCTCTTTCCAGTTTGCAACACCACCTCATAAAGAAAGTGAAGGCTCGCAAGCCACTTAGCATGCTGCTAGGCACATTGGGAATCCTCAGCAGATGAGACATAATTATTGTTGTTGTTGTTGTTATGATTTGATTCCTTCACAGCAATCTTAAAGAATGCTTTTTGTGAGGTAGTTGTTTACCAAATTAATGTAAATCTGATTCAAAAGAGCCTCCCCATTGTGTCCTCTTGGCTTCTGAATAGTGCTGGAAACCTCTTATGGCTCAGGCTAATATGATTTGTGTGACTGCCATTACATTAAGTTATCATCTTTTATTTACAAAAGTTTTAAATGAATATGTGAAAATCTAAGAACTTCAAAATCTCCCTTGCTACCAACTGTTTAGAAAATTGACTTTGTAAAACAAAGAGAGCTCACAGTGACTATTTCTAAAATAACTGGATTTCACTAAGTGATAATTTTGATATTTTTCTAAACCCATGTTGAGAACTCTTGTCTTTTTTGTTGTTCTTCTTCTTCTTAAATTCACTGGCCACAGTATCTGACAAATTTCTCTTCATTGGTTTGTGGCTTGCTTTTTCACTCCTGTTCTCAAGATCAACATGTTCATGGGCTTTATCTGAGAAATGCCAAAGGGGCAGACTGGAATCCAAAGGGTTACATAAATCTTAGGTCTAAAAAAAAGTGAAGTGGTTTCACGTTCCATTTTGTTTGTCTTCATTTACCTATTTAAAGAGTGGGGTAAGACTATGCTATAAGAACAGTCTCAAACTCTAAGCCTCAAGATAACATTGATGAAAGAGAGAAAAACTATTCCCCCCAAGCACAATCAAAACCCATCTTTCCACCCCACCCTCGGACAGCGTTAATTCCTTGATGTTATTCTAAGGGAACTGAACTAAGATTGCCTGACTAATGGAGGAAGGTCTGTGAATTTAACATCTACTAGAGTTTTGGAGGAAGTATGTCAGTGACTGGAGGCCCTTGCCTTGGTTAGCCATCTGCCTGTACAGGAGTGTTCTGTTTTGTCCTCATTGTCAGCATGGTAAATAGCATGATGTGTCAGTACAGCAGCAAGCATGCCCTTTAGTAGGAGCTACAACTAGACTCCCCTTAACCTTGATGAACAGCAGTCCCATCAAAGAGCTCAGTGTTCACCCCAATACTGGCAGATTATACCTCCGGCAGTTTCTAGGCAGTTCTCAACTCTTATCTTCCATTAGTCTGGCTTCAATCACTAAGTAGGAAGAGCAGCTATTTGAATGAGTAAGAGAGACTGACTGCTGGTGTTCACAGAGTCTTCAGATTCCAGCATGATTAAAGACTCTGAGACAAACCTAGGAGAATGAAATTGGCTAAGATAAAATGTTTTTCCAGTAATCAATCTGAAATTTTTTCTCAACAGTTTAAAAAAAAATAGCCACAATCACCTGAATGAAAATTACCATTCTGTAATTTATGACAGAAGTGAATGTATTAGTCATGGAAATTGACTGACACAAACGTCCCCAAATCTCAGTGGCTATACATAATCAAGGTTTATCTATCACTTGATTCACTGTCCGGAATGGAATGTGGGCATAGAATGGAGTTCTGTTCCACACTGTCATTTGGGATTCAGGCACCTTCGATCTTAGCACTGCACCATCTTCTGCAGTTGCTGATGGATATCCTGCCCTGGAGACTGTGCATCTGGCCTGCAGACAAGGAAGGTCATGTGCAGAAGGATTATGCATGAAAGTTTTAGAGACTAGACATAGAAATAGTTCCATCACTTGTCATACCCTTTAAATAAGGCTAGACCTCATGACCCACCCCAACCACAAATGTGACTGGGAGACACTATCCAGCCCCATGCTCAGGAAGAAAATCAAAGAGTTTTATCCAGAGTCATCATGAAAAATTCAAAATATAGTTACTATGCTTGCATAGGGAGCTTGGTTATCTTTTATCCTACCCAATTCATTTATATATATATAAATATATATATAATATATGTATATAATTCACAAAATACATGAACAGGCACTTTCAAGCAGAAGGTGGTGGCCAATAAAGACTTGGAAAGTTACTTTACATAATTAGTCATAGAGAAATGTATATTGACTATATCTTCAGTGCAACTAGATTTGCTAAAGTTAAATAGGCTGATGACACCAAAGGAAGGCCAAAATTTCAACTCTCATACATTGCTGGAGGTTTGTGTAATTTGGTACATTGACTTCATAAAACTGTGTGTTCTTTATAAGTGTAGTGTATACCTACCCAGGAATTTCACTCAAAGGTACTTGTCCAATGGAAATGAAAATGGATCACCAGGCTGACGCTGCAGCTCTCTAGGCTAATCCTCCACCTGTGGTGCTGGTACTCCGGGTTCTAATCCCGGTTGAGGTACCGGTTGTGTCCCGGTTGTTCCTCTTCCAGGCCAGCTCTCTGCTGTGGCCCGGGAAGGCAGTGGAGGATGACCCAAGTGCTTGGGCCCTGCACTTGCATGGGAGACCAGGAGGAAGCACCTGGCTCCTGGCTTCGGATAAGCACAGTGTACCGGCTGTATTGGCCATTTGGGGGGGTGAACCAACTGAAGGAAGACCTTTCTCTCTGTCTCTCTCTCTCACTGTCTAACTCTGCCTGTCAAAAAAAAAATATACTGAGTAAATGGATATATGAAATTTGAGTTCTGCCACAAGTAAAATTATAGTGACATAAATCTAAACATGGGCTCCTTCAGGGTAGTCACAGGGGCAATCGGATGGAAAAGGCACAAGAGATATTTTTGGTTTTATGGAAACATTTTTGTAGTATTATGAGCATCATTATTACACATTTATTAAATTTATTAATGTATGGTGGTATACACATTTATTAAAGCCCACCAAAAGGACACACTTAAAAATCTGTGCAAATGTATGCACATTATCGATGTTAAATGTAATTAAGAAACTTTAAAAATAATGAAACATAGTGTTTCAATATCCCACATGCAAGAATTGAGGGAAAGCTGGTCCTGAATTATAATGGTTAAGGGCATGGTTGTATCAGACAAATTTGGAGGATCTGAGTTACATTGCCAGTACTTTGTGAACATCGGCATATCACTAAACTTTTCTAAGCTTCTATAAAATATAGATAATAAAGTTAGTATCTACATTGCAAGGTAATTCTCAGTGCAATACCTAACACCTAGATACATTTAATACGTTTAAACTGTAGTCATTATTTTGAGACAGCCCTTCAGATAGACTTTCATTGCCCTAATGCAGTCAGAAGTACTGGTATAACCATAAAGATTTTGAGAATTAGATATCTGCAAACTGTATTAGGCTGTAATATAAATAATACAGGCAATATTTGACAGCACATGATTATGTCTACTAGCAAATCCTATTTTAGTTATCCATTTCAAAGTGACTCTATCTCTTTGCCACTAAGAAAAGCTATTCACTTTAAAATACTGTTCTCTTGAAACCTTTATAAAGAAGGTCAAACATAGATAGTTAGGGTATAAATTGTTTTCTGATAGTCTCACCCAGTGTTTTGCATCCAGTGATCACATGACTTAGGTATATATTTTTCCAACACATATATATGGATATATGTATATGTGTATATGTATATATGTATATATGAGTGTAACTTTGTGGTGACCATACTATGTATATTGTTGCAAATTTGATATTTTCACTATGAAATCTTTTTATGCTTAAAATTCTATTTATCTATAAAGTTTGCTTTTTTTTGATAGCTGTATAATAGACCATGACGTTAAAGTACTTTTATTATTTAATTATTTTTAACCAGCTGCTTATTAATGGACATCTCAGTAGCTTCAAGTTTTCACTGTTGCAAACAACTGTGAATTATTGTAACTTTTGTACTTTTGCATTTGTGTTAATAATTTCATATAATAAATTCAAAATGTAAAGTTGCTAACAGAGTTTGAACTATGTTTACTGATTTGCTTTTTTTGTAAGAAAAAAGCTGAATGTATGTGCGTATTTAAATAGTGAGAGAATGAGTATCATAATGTTGAAAAGTTCTCTGGGCAGTAAATGGTGGCTATCATATTCTCCCTTTTTTTTAAAGAATTGTTTATTTATTTGAAATTCAAAATTACAAGGTGGGAGGAAGACAGAGAGATCTGTTTTTTGTTTTTCATTTTTCAAAATACTTACTTATTTGAGAAATAGAATAAGCTCCCATGCACTGATTCAGTACTCAGATGCCTGCAATGGCCAGGGGTGGGCTAGGGCAGAAGCTGGGATCCAGGGACTCAATGTCAGTTTCTCATAAGGATGGCAGGAATCCAATTACTTAAATGACCACTGCTGCTTTTCAGGATCTGTGTGGGCAAAAGACCATAATTAGGAACTGGATCTGAGAAACAGGCACTCTGAAATGGGACACAGACATTTTAACAAACATCTTATCCACTAGTCTGAATACCTGCCCTGCTCCTCTACAGTTCAACTTTTAAGTAAGGAAAAGAGTTATTATAAATTTTATATAAAATTTCAACATAAGGTCTTTAAGATAGCTGCCATAAAAGTGGCACATAACACTGTACATAACACTATACTATGTTGAATGCCTCCTATGCTCATAATTATGCAAATTCTATGCAGAACTCTGTAGTGCCATTATTTAAAAAAATTACTGTTTTTGTGTGTTTATTTTGTAACCTGCAGTATTGCTGAATTGTTAACAGGTTTTTGGTGAAGTGTTTAAGCTTTTCCATGTATGTATTGACACAGAATTTTTTTAAAGGAAGTGAGTCATGAGGCATCACGTAACTTGTAAATGGTAGTCTGGACTTCAACCTAGGGTTTGTGAGAGAAAATTGAGAGAGAGAGAATTGGATATCCTGGGTTTTCTTCTACAGGGCTAAGGTTTTCCAAGTGGAACAAACTGATTTCCTTTTCTTTTTCCATTTTGAATTTTACATTTGTTTCCAAAAGGCCAAATATAAGCTAACTTTTTCTCTCTTCCTTAGTGGATGGTTGCATTCATAGAGCAGCCGGCCCCTGCTTGCTAGCTGAATGCCGAACCCTGAATGGTTGCGAGACCGGACAAGCGAAAATCACCTGTGGTTATGACCTCCCTGCAAAGTGTGAGTACAACTTTTGAACATTGTTGCAGAATCAGATGAGAAATCTTACCTTGTTTTTATTCCTCAAGTATATATTTGATAAAGGAAATTATCTTGATGGTATTTAATTAAATTTGCTTGTATATATGGCAATAAAATGTGTTTTCCAAATGAATATACATACATATAATGTAAGTAATTTTTGTTCAGGTCTTAGAGTGTCTCTGAGACAGGGAAATAAAAATACGAGTGAAATATACATTAGAGTATTTAAGTGCCATGGAGTGACAAGCTTCTGGAAATGATGCCAATTTTCTTATTCCTTGTTCAGATTTCTTGATTGTGGATGTGTTTAGAGCAAAGGAGATCAAAGTGATGTATTGTGTTTGCAGCTGCCATGTAAAGGCTGATTGGCAATTACAGCCAAGGCATCTGTCACACTTTGCTTCCAGGAAAAGCCAATGGAATGTGGTTGTCAGTGTGAAAATGTATTTGCTCTTTGAATGCGGAATGGTCAAAATTTCCATTATATTTGAATAGAGAGAAGTATTGCATTTGATTGACCTTGTTGCTTAGTCATTTAGCTAAGTGGATGCAGTGGGGTGAAGTAAAAATAGTGAGAGAGAAACTAGTTAAAGGTACAGTCCCCCCCCTTTTTTGTTGTAGTTGTTGGTGTTGTAGTTGTTGAATCACATAACCTTCTGGGCATGGCAGTGGAGGTAGAGGATTTCCTTGCAAAATTAAGGTGTGCATTGACCTGTACATTGAGGCAACAATGTATTGATTATGTTATTCACTTGCCTCTTTTTATGCATTCTAAATCTGTGAATCTATTTTGTGTAAAAATGAGACTGGCTTTTATTTTTGCTTTAACAATGGAGAAATCATGACTAAAACAATTATAGCATAATCTGTAGGATACTATTTGGATTCTGTATAGACAAGTTGTGTAAGAATGAATTTTCCATGGTTATGTATAAATAGAAAGTGTTTTATATTTTAAAGGTTACTTATATTTAAATTTAAGGAGTTGTAGATAGCAACATATTAAAATAATATTTGTCTTCATACACATAATACTGCATTCTATATTTCTCACAGTGAGTTGGTAGTGAAAATATATTAATTAAAACAGATTAATTTTTCTTCTAATAGTTTTTTCTTTCTTTGTTAGTGTTTTACACAAATAGCCTCCTACTTGGAATATAGAATATTAAATAAAGCTTTTTGTGTATAGTGATCAATTAAAATGGTAGCTCTATTGTACAGGTTGATATTAGTGATATATTTTTTTAAATGTGCTTGCTTCCATTTGGCATCCATCCCTATTCAACTTTCCATCAATTTCATTACTGCTACTTGAGAGTTATTGAAGACTTGTACAGTACTAGGTACTGAGGCATGAAGATCAATAACTCAATACTTGTGTTTGCAGAATTCCCATAATTGGGTCATATCTTTGAGCTAAACTGTGGCTTTCATGGCAGTCCTGGTCAAGTGAGTCTCAGGGACAAAAGCTGAAGCCATGGAAAGTCAGTCCACAAGGCTTGGTACAGAATCCATGTGAGCTGAGATACTCAGAGCCTGATACATACTCAAGTTACCACATGAAGCCCCCAGGTCATGTTTAGGAAAAAAAAAATCCATAGACTAGAAATTAGCAATCATGCCAATGCCACCTCATAAAAGTCACAAGCATGGGCTGTTTGTGAAAGGTCTTGGTATTTCTGTATATTTTGAAAGATTAATGACTTGTATTAAAACCATAGAGAAAAACAATATGAAAATGAATAATAATAGTTTACATTTGTATGTCACTATATAGTATTTCATAGTACTTTCACAAGCCCTTCTATTTTAAATTATGTTTTGTAAACATTGTGTATGTTCGTTTTCCTTTTCCCTGTTCCTGAAAGATATTTTTCTTTTTCATCAATTTGGTTCATCCATTTCAGAGTCATTAACAATTCACAGATGTGCTTTTGTAGTGAAGGAATGAAAAGGGAGCTCATTACATACTGTTTGGGTCATTTTTCCCCTCCATCTTTAATAATTCCATGACACTTTGACAGCAGAAACTAGTTCCTATCTTTGCTCTGCGACAGCAGGTTTATCATTACAGGGCTACTAAAGCCAGTCATCCAGCCACAAGTGATACTGTCTTCATGCATCAGCAATTTATTTGGGAAATTATATTGTCTCGGTTACAGACAAACTTTGTGAGTTTGGACCTTTTTTTTTCTTCTTGCTAAATTAATATATTCATAAATGTTTATATTTGAATTAATTTTGCTTATAATCTGTGTTCTGTGACTCCTCAGGATTGGTGAAATGATATGGCATAGATATGTAGCTAATCCTTCACTGTTTGGATGTTTTGAATCATTTCCTTTGACATAAGACTATCCAATCATTTTTTCAAAAGAAACTGAAACAGTAGAAAGAATATTCTCTTCTATTGCTTCGAAGACTATCCTGAAAGAAATGATTTAAGAAGTAGATAAAGGACCATTTATTAAACGAATCTTTTGGGGGATCTTCTCTTGTACTGTATTACATGTCTTCTGGATTCATAAAACATTTAGATTTCTACAGATGTTTAGAAACTTTTCAACCTGTGGGACATCACTATTTATCCTTTCATCATTCCACCAGATGCTCAGCTTCATGGAAACAGGAGCTGTCTATCTTAGTCATGGTTATGCTGTCACTTTCTTGCATACTGGCTTATAAATATGTGCTGAATTAATATGAATGAATGCCGATCAAATGATTGTATTATTTTGTGACCTCTTCACCCACAAAATAACTTTTTGACTGTTATCTCTATTTCTAATTCTTTATCTCCTGCAATCTATTCTGCACAATCCTGGTGGTTCATATATTTAAATCAGTGTCCTTGCAGTTGTTTATAAGGCCACGTATAACGTAACCTTACCTCTTTGTCATATCTCCTATGCCTCTCCACACAATGGCAAGTTCCTCACAAAGGCTGCTTTCCTGATCCTCAGTGCCTTTGCACTGCCATTCTTTCTTCCTGGAATTCTGATATTCAAAGTACTAACATGGCTACCTTATATAGTATGCTCAGATGTAACTTCAGATATCACTCTAAAATGATGTTTATAATCCCTTCTCTGCTTTAATTATAGTCACGTGTCTGTTGAATTAAAACTTCAAACTTCAAATATATATCATTTACATTTATTTCTTTTGTCTATTATTATGTCTGCCTCTATGAAAATAAGGGCAATGACTGTTTTTCCCCATCTTTTCATTTCTTGGTGTATCCATACACATTATACAAATGGCTGACACTTAATAGAGAAGATCATTATTGAATGAATGAATAAAATGTAACTCTACTTGTCTCAAAGGCTTCCAATGGGATTTTCCTTAAATGCAGACTTGTTCAACCTTTGGCCTTCCATGATTTACTGCCATATCTTGAACTACTTAAAACTTTGGAACAATATGAACTATTCAAAATGCTGTATGTGTGCATGAGGTCTTTATTTGGTGCTATGTAGAAAGCTTTAGTTCTCCTTTGTATCCCTCTTCCAGACTCAATTTAAACATCATTTCTACTGTGAAACAAGTCTTCTGTTATCACCTCAGCTAAAAATACCTTAATTTTTCTTTAGATTCCAGAAGACTGCATGATAAACCACTAAGGGAACCTTATACTTGCTACCTTTTATTGTCATCTATGTGAACTTTCTACCTGTCTAACAGGGACCTCTATGTATAATGAATATTCAAGAAATATCTTTCAAATGAATTAATTGTTAAAAGTGGCAAGCTAGTTGGTAATTGGTGGTTGGTGGGAGGTAAAAAGAAAAGTTATGCTAATATTCCTGAAATGATGAAGTTAGTGTCAATTATCCATTGTATTTTTAAAATCATATTTTAACATATATCCAGTTCCGAAGTCTCCTAAGAACTTTACTCTTAATGGAGCTATTCCTCAAGAGGAAAAGATAAAAATAAAGAAACCATATCAACTTTATTTTCAGCATAGCTCAAATATCTTTTCTTCAGAATGCTCCATTTCTAGGATTAGGGCTGAATAATCCCAAAAGATTAATGGAAGAATATTAAATCTGTATATATAAAATGGTGGAGGCTGTTCCTTTTATTCCTTCTATTTCATCTTTGGACCATATCAAAAGATGATATTAGCATGCAACTCACAGTTTTTCATTAATCGTTTAAAGGAAAACTCTAGGGTGAGAAACCATAGCATAATGTGTTTGAATGAGTGGTATGAATCAAACCCCTTCTTCTGTTCCCAGGTGCAATAATGATCAGATGATAGTAGCTTAAAAGGTACTGTTGATAATAATTAGTACTTCTCTTGTGCCCTTCATCAAGAAAAAATAGTACTCTGAAACACTAGCTCATCAAACCTTTTGAAATTCCTATGAGGAACTGACATGAAAAGCTGCATTCAACACAAAGAGAAATTCAGGTATGGAGAGGTTAAGTCTGTTTGCTATTGCTCCCAGTAGCAAACTAAGTATCAAAGGCATGATGCTGGCCAAGGATCCCTGAGCGCAGGATCTTTTTACAGGTGTTGGCCATGCTTTTTATCTTTATTTATTTTTAAGTTTTTTTTAAAGCAGAGTTATGTCTATTTGTTTGCATATTATCTGTGGGTACTTTCATGTGACAGAGTTGAGTAATTGCTACAGGGGTTATATGGACATGAGACCTGAAATAGTTACTACCTGACCTTTCACAGAACAGTTTGCCAACCCTGATCTATGGCAAATCCAACTGCCTATAAAGGAGGAAGGTGAGATTTAGTGAGGTAGTTTAAATTTTATTAAACTTTATTAACTATATGTGATTTTTCTCAGATCACAATCGACAAAAGTAGAACTAAAATACTTGCTGTCTATTTCCTAGGACAGTAGTTGCTTCTATTGCTCAAGTTGTTGCTGAGAAAATTACCTTAGGAGGATGATCGGAGACCTTTGAAATCTTTCAGATAAAATTAGGTGACTTTGAAAAAAAAT